TGCCTTCGGTTCAGACCCACAGCCAGCCGTTTCTCTCGAGGAAAAGGCAGGCGGCCATTGGGGCTGGGAGGCAGGGGTGGGGACGGCCAGGCCTGGACGAGGGCCCAGCCCTGCGCATGCCCTGTCTGCCATCTCAGTCCATCCCAGATGCCCGGTTCATCAAGGAGGACCTCGGATCCTAGGCGGGGGCCGAGCGGGGCCCTGTCACCTGGAAGACGGTGGGACAGGTGGGGACTCCTGGGGACCAGGGGTCAGTGTCTACAACCGAGTGTCTGAGGAGGAGCTCTCAAAATGCCCCGTGCGGTGGGGAAGCCCCGCTGTCAGGAGGGGGGTGAAGTCGGTTTTGCTTTCACCCCGAGCAGTGACCGGAAGACTCAGACGCTCCACATCCGATTAACCCTGAAGGCCTAAATCAAAGCAGTGCCCACGGGTCCCTGTACAGGCTCTTTGAGGATGGACTGAGTGGACTGCTGTTGCTTCTGATGAGACAGGAGATTCCCAAGACTTAAAATTAGGTCGGGGAGTCGCTGGGTGGTGCAGACAGGTAACGAGCTCAGCTGCTCACCAAAAGGTTGGAGGTTCCAGTCTACCCAGAGGTGCCTCAGAAGAAAGGCCTGGTGGTCTACTGCCCAAAGATCAGCCATTGAAGACCCTACGGAGCGCAGTTCTACTCTGACACACGTGGGGTCGCTGTGAGTCAGAGTCAGCTTGACTGCACTGGCCTTAGGGCTGGTTCAGAGCGGCGAGGACTCGGGTGTACAGGACGAAGGGCAGCCGTGGGAACCACGATCTGCAGCCGGCCTGTGGGGCTCCTTCTGAGCACCAGGGCTGGAGCTTGCAGGCTGCAGGGTTCAGGGGGTCCCATTTTGGGGCAGGAGGCAGCTAAACCCGAGGGAAGCTGGGGTTTGAGTCCTTGTTTTACTTGCACCAGGAGGAACCCTCCCTTCTGGGCTCTGTTCTCTGAGGCCCAGAGGGTTGGAGGTGGAACTTCCTCCCGGGCCAGAAGAAGGTGTTGTTCCCACCTCCTGGGAGGCCTGGCGGGTGGGGGCAGCTCCTGGGCCTGCAGGCCTGTCAAAGGAGATGAGACGTCGGGCCCAGGAATTCTCGTGGGGCCCAGATTCTGCCCAGCCTGCTCAGCAGAGGGGCCCCCAGGACTCAGCTAGCCCAGGTATCCCCTCACCCAGCCAGGCCCCAGCCCTGTCCTCTGTAGACAAGGCCTAGGAGGCACCCCTGGCCCCCGGCCACCAGCCTGGCCCTGGGCCAGGTTCCTCAGGACCCAGGTCCATCTCCACCAACACAGCCTTGGCCTGGGAGCTGCCCGGGGAGGTTCTCCACCTGGCCAAGGTGTGCAGGGAAGGCCAGGTGGGCTGGCCTGGATGGAGGCTTGAGCCCCCACGCCAAGTTGGCCCTGTGACTCCTCAACCTTGGTCCCTGGCCTGGGCCCAGTCAGCTCTCCTGCCAGGGAGGGGCCTGCGTCCTGGTGGCTTCGGTGAGTACTGACTCGGGCTGGACCTGCTCCCACGTTGACTCAGGTGCTCCTGACCCCGGCCGGCCTGGCCCCACAGCCTGCCGCCAGCCAGAGCCCAGGACCACCTGGGGATTCAGAGGAATGTCGCTGCTCCCCATCAGGGCCCTGGGTGGGGACCACGTGGCCGCCAAGTGTTCCTGTCTTTTCTATCTCGTGATGGGCTTGCACCCCGCCAGGGCCCACCCCCTACCCGGTTCCCACACGCCGGCATCTAAGCCGTTAGAGACCAGTTGCCACCAAATCGATTCTGACTCCTGGCGACCTCACATGCGTCAGAGCAGAACTGTGCTCCGGAGGGTTTCCAGGGGCTGATTTTTCCAGGAAAAGGTGGCCAGGCCTTTCTTCCAAGGCACCTCTGGATGGACTTGAACCTCCAACCCTTTGGTCGGCAGCCAAGCGCCCTCCCTCACCATTTGCACCACCCAGGGACTCGCAATTGCATCCACACGGCATGAGAGGAAAACAAGCGAGCGCCCCCACGTCGGCATCTCTCCTGCCATTTTCTCTGGGCCGATTTGCAGGGGAGTCACATCAATATCAAAGGCAAAACCTCCCGACTCCTCTTAACCCCTGTCCCCAGTGCTCCCTCCCAGAGCAGCCCGTCGGGGTGCGCGCACATCGAAGGTCCCAAGCCGTTTCCAGCACTCTCCCCTCCTTAGGGATTATCCTCCCCCCACTGGCTTCTCCACCCCTCAGCCTTTCAGGCCTCTGGCAGGTTCTCCCTCAGGTGAAAACAGCTCGGCTTTACCTGGCTTCTCCTAGTGCGGTCAGGGAGAAGCCTGAGGAGGCATCATGGGCCGGTGGCACGTGGAACAGACGTGCAGCGGGTGGAGGACGGTCTGCGGCCGCTGGACGCCTGATCTGATGCTCGCTGCCATGCCGGCCCGGCTCCCTTAGCTAGGCCCCACGGCAGGGACATCAGGAGGGGAGGATGCCCCGGCAGAGCCAGGGCACGCTCTGCCTGTGCACCAGCTCCAGGCCTGCTTGGCCCCCGGCAGGTGACAGTTCCAGGTGCAGCCAGACCACCCAGCCCTCTGGGGCTCACCTTGGAGGAGGCCGCCCCATGGCCCACGGAGGGCTGAGCAGGAGGCTGGCCTCCCAGGGCAAACCTGAGTCACCCCGGAGGCATAAAGGACCAGGGTCAGAGCTGTGCTCAGAGGGAGCAGTGCAGACATCCCACCTGTTACGAGGTCAAGGCTGCTGAGCGCCCACACCTGGGCTAGGGGGGCAGGAGGCCACGCTGCGAGGCCTCAGTTCCCATCACAGGCCACGCCACTGAGGGAGATCAAGACAGGAGTCCCCTTGGTTTCTGACAAGAAGCACTGCACGTTGGGGTCTCTCCCTAGACGCCGCTGCCGCTGCTGTCCATGGCTCCTGGGGGGCTCCTTCGACACTCCCCAGGTGAGTCTCTATCTGTTCCCCAAGGCGGCCTGGGGGCTCTGAGGTGCAGATCTGGCAGCATCTGCTGGGCCTCTGCAGGCCCATCCCCCTCAGATGCATCCCCTTCGGCTCCAGGCCCCAGGCCCTGGACGCATTCATTCACTCATTCATTCATCCAGCACTGTCTAGCGGCCTTCCTCATGCAGACCCTGCACCAGTCTGGAGTAGAGACTCCCCAATCTGTGGATCCGCGGTGCAGACAGATGGGGGCACTGGGAGGAGGCTCCCTGTGGCTAGAAGAGGCCTCCTGGTGGTGTGGGTTGTGGGGGGCCAGCACCCTTCGGCCAAGGGGTCGGACAGAAAGTGGCCTGTGGCTGCCATCAGGTGTGGGGCCAGAACACAGGGACTCAATCACACAGTGAGTCTGAATCTCCAGAGTTCCTCAAAGGTCTGTGGTGTGTTTCTAGACGGGGGCGGGGAGGGGGGTTGTTGGCGTGGAAGGCAGGCTTGGGGATGCTAGAGAAGTCCCTGGAATTAGAGGGAGGGGGACCCTTGCGAAGTGGATGGAGCCCCAAGCAGCAGGAGTTGGGTGTAGGGCTGCCAGATTTAGCCAAAAAAAGTACAGGAGATCAAGATAAATGTGAATGGTAGGCTAATTGCCTCCATGAGACCAAAAGAACTAGATGATGCCCAGCTACTACTACTGAATATTTTTATCAAAGATTCTATAGAACAATGCTGATCACAAGGGGGAAAATGTGGAACAGAACTTCAAATTCTCATGGAGTCCAGACTTTCTGGAGCCACAAAGGCTGGATGAACCCCTGAAAAGTATTGCCCTTAGATAACATTTAAACCTTAAACCAGAACTATCCCCTAAAGTCTTCTTAAAACCCAACAACGTTCAGCGTGACTAGTAAAGAACGTCTGCCTTGAGTACTGCACTCTGTTAAGATTTATCTATATGGGATCAAAGTGACAACAGCATGTGGGAAGATCAGACAGGAACTTCAGGGGGCAGTGAGGTCATGCTGATGGGGGAGGCACCACTCGGAAAAGGAGGCTGAGCATGGTGGCACAGCTGAGGCATGTAATCCACATCATGGAAATGACATGTAGAAAGTGTTGAGAAGCTGTATGTTCTGCTGTGTATATTCTCAACAATAAAAATTTATTTTTAAAAGTGTTGAATTTCAGATAACGGCAAAATGGTGTTTAGTACAAGAGTGTCCTGTGCAAGGGGATGCTGCTGGAGGGTCCCGGGAGCAAAGGTGGCCCCATTGTGAGGTGGGACCAGCCACATTTGTGTCCACTCCCTCTGGGGGGCCGCAGCCCAGCCCATCTCACGACCTCCTGCACTGCAGCTGCCAGGCAACCCCTCCCCAGACCTGCCCTACCTGGCTTTGGGGTGCCAATGCCCAGACAGGGGAGAGAAAGGGGGGGGGCAAGTGAGGAGGCCTCCACAGCTCACCCCACCCAGCAGCTGCCCCAGCGCACATCTTGGCTCAGCCCCTGGCCCATGCGGGGCTTCCCAGGGGCTGGCAGGCTGCACCCCCGGTGCTGCACGCTGACCTTCATTTACCCAGACGCCTTTTCCTCCTTCCCCACCATGTGTCCGCCTCCCTCACTGGTGCTTCCTGGGATCACTCCAATAACCACCCACACCCCAGCCCGGGCCAGGGCTGCCTTGGGGGAACCACAGTCAGACCAGGGAAGTCTGGCATTTGTGGGTGTGGGACACCAATGACTTGGGGCTCTCAGATCGTTTCCCCCAAAGGCCCCTAATCCTCCTGGCCCCCGAGAGAGCCTGGCTCTGCTCATCTCCTCCCATCAACCACCTATCTGATCAAACTGAGCAGGGGGGTCTGCTGTCTGCAAACAAACCCTGAAAATGCAGACAGGGACAGAGACATGAGTGGGAGGAACAGGCCTGGCGGGGTGGACCTGGGGTGACGGGGAGGGAGTCGCCAAGGCATCAACTCAACCATGCTCACATGTTTATTGGCAAAGGGGACAGAGGGGACCAAGCCTGACTCAGCAAAGGCTTGGCCTGGGTGTCCCCAGCCCTGAGCAGCGTGACGGCTCCATGGGCTCAGACCGGCTGCAGAAGCAGGGGCGCCCAGAGCACAGCCAGCAGCAGCAGCAGTGAGGAGGGGTCTGTCCTCAATGGGCCACAGCTTATCAGCCTCTGGATCCAGTGGAAATGCTCACTGACGTTGGTGTAGACACCTGGCCGGTTCGGGCGACCGCAGCCCACGCCCCAGCTCACGACTCCGACCTGATACCACACGCTGTCCACTTCGCAGACCAGGGGTCCACCCGAGTCACCCTGGGGAGCAGCGTGTGTGAGCATGGGTGGGGGTGCCACGGGGCAGTGCAGAACTAGAGGAGAGGCCAGAGAGCAGGGGGCTGTGCAGCTGGGCCACCAGCTGAAGCGACCGAGCCTCAGTTTCTGCATCTGCAAAGTGGGCAACAGTCCCTACCTCCCGGGGCTGGCGTGAAGTTCAGTTCGTGGGAAACCAGGGGCAGGTGGTACACTCTGGCTCAGTAATAATAATAACTTGTAGGGCAGGGGTAGGGCAGGGGATTGGGATGTTGGGGCCCAGAGGCCCTGGTGGGGAAGGGGGGACACTCACAAAGCAGGAGTCTTTGCCACCTCCTGGCTCGCCAGCGCAAACCATGTCTCCAAAGATGTTATGGCGGAAATCGGGCTGTTGGTATAGGTGGTTACACATGGTGTTGTTTATGATGGAGATCTGTACTTCCTGCAGGTTATACGGAGGCTCCAGCTCTGCTCGGGGTGGGGGTGGGGGGCAGGAGACGAAGAGAGATGGTCAGCTGAGACTCAGGCTGCAGGGCGGGCTGCGGGGCACCCACAGGGCCTGGGACGGGGCTCTCGTCCCCAACTCTCGCCAGCACCAGCATCTCCGGGGGCTCAGCAACACCACAGGACCCCCAAGAGGGTGGGCAGGCTGTTCCAGCGCCGCCTGAGACTCAGTTTCCTGATTTGTAAATACGAGGACGGCCCCTGCGTGAGACTGGGGGAACTCCTGGCCAATCAGTGTACAGGGAGGGCCACACGCTGGCTTGTGGAGGATGGTAAGGTCTGGCTGCAGGGTCCGGGCCCAGGACGACAGAGTGCGGCTGGCTGTGCCCCTGGGCCTGCACCCACTCACCCTGCAGCAGGAGCACTTTATGCAGCTCCTGCCAACTCTAGATGGAGGTGGATTTCCCAAGGAGCCCTCCCTCCTCCAATGCCAGGTGTGTGACCTCGGGGACGTCTCTCCCCTCTCTGGGCCAAGGAGACCTGGCTTCTCCTCTAATTACTAGCTCTGGAGCCTTGGGCACTTCCCATAGCTCTCTAAATCTCAATTTCAGCATCTATAAAATGGGTATAAAAACATTCCCAGCCCAGCCTCATTCTACAGTGAGTTCCGAGAGGAGCAGAGACTTGGCTTTGCTCACTCCTGGGTCCCAGAGCCCAGAACTGTGCCTGGCACAAGATGTGCAGGCAAGGATCGATCTGTTGTCATTATTGTCATTATAGGGAGACACAGGGATGGGCCAGCCCCAGGAGTAGGGGGGAGGGGCACTGCAGGCAAAGGGACTGTGCCCATCTGGGGCCACAGGCCCCGGGGCACTTTGGGGATTTTAGGTGAGAGATGAGCAGGTGCCAGGTCCCTGCCAGCCTGGGGGGCGGTCCCCAAGGACCCACCTCGGGCTTCAGTGGGGAGCCCAGGGTGGAGGAGGATGGCTTGGATCAGGAGGATGGAGCAATGGGCTCAGCCCTCCAGGGGAGCTGATGTGAACTAGGACAGACACAGAGGGCAGGGGGCAACTGGGGGTGCTGGGGAACGAGGGGCACCCCGAACTTAAGTGCAACGAATGCATGGAAAAACGAACACTTGCAGCTACACCTACAGGCCCCCCGAAAGGCCCCATCCTTGCATTTACAGAGAGAGAACCAGGCCGGGGTGCAGGCCTGGGCCGAGCTGGCCGCCCTCTCCAACACACGCTACCGGCCACATAGCCGGCCGGGAGCGGGAATGGAGTTTGGTCCAGAAAATCCTGCACGTGCGGGTGGGGGGAGAGCAGAGCGGCAGGTGAGGGGAGAACGCCGGGCGGGTCAGCACGGGCCCCAGAGGGTGAACAAGTGGACGCGGACAGTGCCCTCCCCGAAACCCGCCTGTCCCCCAGCCTCACCCTTGTTCTCCATGATGTCCCCCCAGCCGGTCACCCAGCAGTCAGTCCGGTTCTGGAATTCCACGGTGGAGTTCACGACACAGATGGGCTGGACGTACTCCTTGTAGGTGACAGAGGAGGATAGCTTCAGCAGGGCGATGTCGTAGGGTGACGAGCCCATGAACCTAGGGTACCTCACGATCCTCTCCACACTGTAACGGTTCTCGTAGGCCTGCAGGTTCCAGATGGACGGCACAGCAGACAGCTCGCCAAACTGGACACTCCAAGGAAAGGGGTCACTGCTCCTGGCAGGGCGGAGGGCGCAGTCAGGGGACTGGGGAGGAGGCACCTGAGCTCCCCTGGGCCTCTCCACCGGAGGGAGGGAAAACCCTGGGGCTGCCACTACCTGCTCGTCCTGTGCCTGCGAGCCACCCTTAGCTTTGGTTCTACTCCAAGGCCAAAGGGTCCGCTGGGGGAACGACAGGGGCCCACAGAGGCCACACCCAATTCAGAGCCTGGGGCTGCCAGGGCAGAGCAGGAGGGTGGGCGCCCTCCCCAGCCAGTCACTCAGCCAGTCTCGACCTCAACGAGCCCTCTGGGCAACCTAAACTGGGGTGAGTCCTCCAGGGGACCCCAATGTGGGGCGCTCACCAGGCTGGGTCACAGCAGCGTTCCTCGCACCTCAGGTAACTCCTCCCACACCCGTGGTGCAGGTGCCGTGGGGTGGAATGCGTGAGGAAAAGGATGGTGGTGCCATTTGTTTAAAACTAAAAGGACAATATACACAGATGTGCGTGGGAATGTTCTGGAAGAACATTCTGGAAGACACTCAACAGGGTCCCTCCAGGGGTACCAATAGGAACTTGTGCGTGTGTAACCGACTGCAGCCAGTCCGGGGGCTCGGAGGACACCAGGGCCGCGTCCACATGCAACCTGCAGATTCCAGGACCCGGCTGACCCAGGGCCTGGAGCTTGGTGTTCCCAGCCCCCTGCCCGCCCCCAGACTCACTGTTCCAAGCAGTGTGCGGCCGTGAGCACCCAGCGGCGACTGAGCAGGCTGCATCCGCACACGTGGCTGCCCCACAGGCGCAGGCTGCCCTGCCACGGCCAGCTCCCCAGCTCCGCGTCCTGGCCTCCCACCACGCGCGTGGGGATCTTCCGGCGGCCGCAGGGTGCTGGGATGGGCAGACGAACACGAGGGTGAGCTGGGGGGGCGGGGTGGGAACAAGCCCTCCCCGTTCACAGAGGGAAGGAGCTCCCGGGGCCTCATGTGTCCTCGGTCCGCGGAGGGGGACAGTGATGCGTGACCACCCGCCCCCGCCCCCGTGATCCGCAGGCACGCCCCTCCCCTGGGCCCATCACCTACTCGTGAGCACGTTCCACTTCGCGGCACCTGGGGGACAGGGAGAGACAAGAAAGGTGAGGCGCCCTCACGCCGGCCCAGGTGCCCTGCACCGCGAAGCGCGCTCCCTGGGCCCTTACCTGGATTCAGGGACCCTAGGTCCCCATCCAGCGACCCTGGGGGGAGTTGAGCAGGTAAGTCCCCCTGGGTCCTCACGCCCCGCCCCAACTCCCCCAGCCCCCCGAGCCCGGCCCGGGACAACAGCAGCCACAGCAGCAGCGCGCCCATGGCCTCCTCTCCGCGCCTGGCGCCCCCCTCCGCTTCCTCCTGCGCCGGTCCCGCTGGGGCGCCCCCTGGGGGCGAGGGCGGGAGCAGGAGCCCTGGCCCCCCACCCCTCCCAGCCTGACCTCCCTGGGCCCAAGGGCTGTTTGGGGATCTCGAGGTCTCGCAGCGCCCTTCTTCAGGCTCCTAGTGGGGCTGGGTCCCCCAACAACACCCCTTGCTGCCCCTGGGGAACGGTTGGCTCTGACTCTTCCCTCTCCTTCTCTGGGACCCAGGGGTCCTGGCTACCTCACCCACTGCCCCTTCCTCCACCCGCTTCTTCCTCCAGGACAATGGACCTTCCCACACCTGGGGACCCTGTCAGGCCCATGAGCAAGTCCTTACTGGGTGCCCACTGAGGCCTGTTCTGTCAGCTGCTGCCAAAGAGAAGATCCTTTACGGGATCCTGGCGGAAAGGTGAAGTCGTTAGCCTGGGCCCTCCCTGAGCGGGGCCCACTGGTCCCTGCTGCCCAGGCAGCCCCAAGGTGGGAGGGTCGGCCCCACTCCTTGCCTAATTGGTGGAATTTGAAACTTTTTTGACAGATTTTATTGCTGGACAGAAAGGGAGACAGAGATACCGCTGAGTCCATCCCTGGGTCCTTGTGACCCATGACCCTTGGGTGGGAGTCCTTCAGGCTGTGCCTGCTCAGTGGGGTGTGGTGAGGGGGTGTGGAGTGGGGTTTTCCCCATCATGGGGAGCCCCTCTCACTGCAGTCCCTAGAAGGAGGGGCCTGGCAAAGGTGGAGCGCGAAGTTCATGTGTATGGATGTGTATGAAGAGGGTTCTTCCAGATGAGGGCAGAGGGGCTCACACCTTCTTCCTCAGGGAGCCCAGCCAGTCACCCAGCACGGCATCCAGCCAGCTGGCACCTGCTGACATGCCCGGTGCATGGGGAGTACGCCGATGGCCCTGGAGGTCCGCTAGGGCCTTGGGGGCAGACGGGGGACTCTGTGATTCCAAGCGCCAGGGAAGCCATTGGAGACTGGGACCACTGAGCCAGCGGGTGGGGAAGAGCCAGGTGTGGGCTGCATGGGTGGCAGCCCGGCCCTCCTCCTCCAGTCTCCTCCTGCCCCTGCTTGGGGGGGCCTGTGTCTGGCCCCCGACTGCCTTCCTACATATCTCTGGCCACTTCCCAGGCTTCTCTGGAAAGACTGCAGTCAGCGGAGAGAGAGGGGAACTCGAAAGAGAGAGATGACAGCAAGCCCAGCCTGGCAACAACCTGTGCTGTCACTCCCAGGTGGTGTGAGCTGGCAAAGCCCCCGCCCCAACCTAGATTGAACACACGCCTGACCCCAGCCCTGCCCATGACCCTGGCCCTGACCCCAGCCCTGCCGGTGACCCTGGGCCCGACCTTAGCCCTGCCCATGACCCTGGGCCTGACCCCAGCCCTGCCGGTGACCCTGGGCCCAACCTTAGCCCTGCCCGTGATCCCAAGATTGACCCCAGCCCTGCCCATGACCCTGGGCCTGACCCCAGCCCTGCCCATGACCCCAGGATTGACCCCAGCCCTGCCTGAACCTAAGAATTTACCTTTAGATCTGACCACGACTTTGGCACTGACCCTCAGCCTTCCTAGTGACTTACACAGCCTGCTTTCCCCTCCCTGTCCACTCCTCGGCGGAACTCAGGGTGACCAGTGCCCCAGGCAGAGGCAGCAGCCAGGTGCTGGGAGGCAGAAAACCAGGGCTTTGGCCTCAGCGATTGGCTGGGTTGGCAAGGGCCCAGCAGGGGGTCCAGAGGAGCTGCTGCTCCTGCCCCTCCTGTCCGTGGCCAACCCCCCTCGGCCCGCTGAGCCGAGGGTCAGGGCTGCAAGGGAGAGCGGGCTTGGGCGAGCCTGGAGCTCCCAGCCCTCAGTTTCCCTGTCTGGCTGCTGTGAGCATCTGAGGACCCCCATAAACGGTGAGGTCCCAGCTGCCAGGCCCCAGGGGAGGCCGTGACCCCAGCCGCAGGGATGACTTCCCGCAGGAGGAAAGTGGCCCTGCCAGGCCCTGTCTTTACTGCCCTGCAGACAGACAGACCGGCAAAGGGACAGACACCAGCCCCGTGGGCTGGAGACCTTGGTTCCAGGAGTCCCAGTAATCACCACAGTCATCCCTGAGACGTGGGCTGCACCCTGCAGCTCGGCCTCGGGTGGGTGGGCGAGAAGGAGAAGATGCCAGGTGGGTATTAGAGTTGGGGGTGCAGGGAGGAGGTCCAGAGAGGATCGCTGGGGGACTGGGTGGGCGGCAGGGAGCAGAGAGAGGGCTTGGGTGTGGGCTGTGGGGGGCTGGGACCAGCCAAGCCCCAGGGGAAGGGGCGTACCCCCAGGAGGCCCAGAAGCAGCAACAGAGCAGAGCAGAGGATCGCAGTCCCGGCTTGGAGAGAAGTTTCCTTCAGGAGGGGCTGGGTTCCAGGTTGTGCTGATAATCCACAAGGTGTAGCGCTGATGTGGATGTAAACACCAGGCTTCTTGGGGAGGCTGCAGCCAGCCCCACAGCTCACCACCCCTGCCTGAGCCCAGATACCACCAAAGTCACAGACCAGGGGGCCTCCGGAATCGCCCTGGGGGGAAAGAAGTGGTTCGTGTAGGAGCCCGAGGGGCTGGGGTGCTCGGTGCCAGCTGTTCTCCTTACACACATGGGGACAGGGTCATAGCGGAGCCCCGAGTCCCCCACCTTCCTTGGCCACTCCAGTGCCCAGGTCTAGTGGGCAGAGGAGGACCAGTGGGTCGGGGGTTCCTGGAAGGTGCAGGGGTGGCTGGTCTGGGAGGTAAGGGTGGGGAATCCTGTCCAATGGGACCAGCAATGGGATGGGACAGTCTGTTCTCTAAACGGGATGTGAACACCCACGAGCAGGAAAAGGGAGTGTGAAAATCTCACACCTCAAGTTGGCGAACAACAGCAGGAAATTTATTAAACAGTTAAGTCCCTGAATCTCTGCTTTTCATGCCTGAACTCTCTCCACGTGAATAGAATTCTTGTGGGGTTTTTTCCAGAACTGTTTGCCTCCTCCTGCTGCTCCATACTCGAGAGTAAGTAACAAGTGATAATGGAATAGGGTTTCAAAAAGAATGTTAATAAATTCGTTTACCGGTATTTTTGATTTATACAGTCGCTTGAGCGTGAAAAACAAAACTATGATTACATAAAATGAAGAAGAAGGAAAACTGCAGTTCTCAGGAGCGCTCCCGTGTTGCAGAGGTTGCTGTTGGCTTCGTTTTTGATGAGAAAAAAAAACCTCTTAGCTAAAGCAATATTAAGAGGCAAGGTGAGCAGAAGCTTGGTTTGGAGTTAGGGTGCTTATAGGAGCAGATGAGAAAAGACAAAACCAACCTAGCTCAGAAGTAGTGATCTTCAACGGCTCTGAGTGTTACTTTGGGAAAGAAAATATACATATATTTTCAGGACAAAATGAAAAAGCTTCAAGGAAGTTGCGTGTTCTGACAATATTCCCTGGGTGGTGTAAATGGTTACAGGCTCAGCTGCTAACTGAAAGGTTGGTGGTTTGAGTTCAGCCAGAGGCACCTCAGAAGAAAGGCCTGGTGATCTACTGCCAAAAAACTAGCCATTGAAAACCCTGTGGTTATCTGTATGGGATCAAATTAACAGCAACTTGAAAGATTAGATAGGAACCCTCGGGGGCAGTGAGTTTATGTCAATGAGGGAAGAATACCTCAGAAAAGGAGGGTGAGAATGGTTGCACAACTCGAAGAATGTCATCAATGTCACTGAAATGTACGTGTAGAAACTATTGAATTGGTGTGTGTTTTGCTTGTATAGTCTCAACAACAACAACAAAATAAATTACTTTTTTTAAAAAAACTCTATGGAGTGCAGTTCTACTCTGACCCACATGGGGTCGCCAGGAGTCTGGGTCGACTTGATGGCGGCTGGTATCTGAAAGACAGACAGGGTCCAGGAGCATTTCTTTCCTTCTTGAATGGACGCTTGTATAAAGAGATGCTGCCCTCCTCTGCTCTGGGGAGCCCCCAGTTGGGATGGGGAGCAGGGACCCCAGCCCCTCCCAGGGTGTGGGGAGACGGGGTGGTCTGTGTTCCCCAGCTCATCCTGCAGGCATCCTTCTGACTCTCCTCGAAGCCGGCACAGAGCATGTCATCTTGGACGATGGCCCCCTGGCTGGGGGAGCCGGAGCCCTCCTGATAGTAGGCCTCACAGGTCTGGGTGTCGATGAGGGGTGGGTGCAGCTCCTTCAGGGCTGAAGGGTCACAGGAGCGCTGGGTGAGTGCAGAGAGCAGGCTCAGAGGACAGCCGCAGCCCTAAGACAGTCTCCTCCGGGCCCCTGCCGGGCTGTCCCATGACCCTACTTGGATGGACCAGCCACCCAAAGCCATCTCTGCTGTCAGTCTTCTGGGACCTCCGCTTACACTCACAAGCTTTTGCGAACTATGCCAAGATGGCAAGTCGAGCCCGGGTCACCCCGGTGTCACAGATGTGGAATTGAGGCCCCAAGGGAGGCCGTTGGAAATGCTGGGAAGGGAGTCATGAAAAAGATTTGAAACTGGGGGGGGGGGGGTGCCTCAACATCGTGAATGCACTGGCTGCCACTGAATTGCTCACTTAAAAAATGGTTAAGTGCACGGGATGTGAATCACACTGCAATTAAAAAAAGAGTGGTAAAGAACGTCTGTCTTGAGCATCATGCTCTTTTAAGAACTACCTATATGGCATCAAATTGACAACAGCAAAGATTAGAGAGAAAACATCAAAACTTAAACTTTAAACCAAAAATATTGCCTGAAGCCTTCTTTAAACCAAACAACAGTTTAGCTAAATTAGTAAAGAATGTCTACCTTGAGCATTATGTTTTTTTTGTTTCCCTAAATTTTATTGTGTTGTTGTTGAGAATATATGCAGCAAAACATACACCAATTTAACAGTTTCTACATGTACAATTCAGTGACATTGATGACATTCTTCTGGTTGTGCAGCCATTCTCACCCTCCTTTTCTGAGTTGTTCCTCCCCCATTAACATAAACTCACTGCCCCCTGAGGTTCCTGTCTAATCTTTCAAATTGCTGTTGTCAGTTTGATCCCATATAGAGAGTTCTTAAAAGAGCGTAGTGCTCAAGGCAGACCTCTTTTACTAGTTAAGCTAAACTGTTGTTTGATTTTAAGATGACTTTAGGGGTGTCCTACTCATCTAGTGCCACTGTAATAGAAATACCACAGTCTAGTATGCTAGAAGTCCAAATTCAAAGACTCAGCTCCAGGGGAAGGCTTTCTGTCACCTCTGGAGGAAGGTCCTTCTCATCAATCTTCCCCTGGACTAGGAGTTTCTCTGCACAGAAGCCCCTGGTCCAAAGGACACACTGCTTCTGGTGCTTCTTTCTTGGTGGTATGAGGTCCCCACTCTCTGCTCGCTTCCCTTTCCTTTTATCTCTTATAAGATAAAAGGGTGCAGGCCACACCCCAGGGAAACTCCCTTTACATTGGATCAGGGATGCTGACCTTAGTAAGAGTGTTACAATCCCACCCTAGTCCTCTTTAACATAAAATTACAATCACAAAATGGAAGACAACCATGCAATACGGGGAATCATGGCCTAACCAAGCTGACACATATTTTGGGGGGACACAATTCAAACCATTACAAGGGGATATTTTGGGCTTAAAGTTTAAAGATTATTTCAGGGCAATAGTTTCAGGGGTTCATCCACCTTTCACGGTTCCAGAAAGTCTAGAGTCCATGAACATGATGTTCATTTAAAGAACTCTCTATATGGGATCAAACTGACAACAGCAACTCGAAAGATTAGACAGCAACCTTAGGGGGTGGTGAGTTTATGTTCATGAGGGAAGAACAACTCAGAAGAGGAGGGTGAGAATGGTTGCACAGCTCAAGGAATGTAATCAGTGTCACTGAATTGTACACGCAGAAGCTGTTGAATTCGTGTTATGTTCTGCTGTGTATATTCCCAACAACAACAAAAATAAATAAATAAAAAATAATAACAACCCTGCGTTATAACCACAGTTCTACTCTGACACACATAGTCACCATGAGTCGGAAATTGTCTTGGCAGCAAAAAAGCAAACACTCACTAGGAAGATGTGTGGGTGAGCACAGGTGGATGGAAACCATCGTGGGTCCCAGCCTCCCCCAAGTGGCTGGCCATCGGGGATGGACGCATGGCCTGGCTCTGGCCATGCAGCTCTGTGATCGGTCGAGTCGCTTCCCCCTTGTGACCCTGCTCTTCTCAGTTCCCCAAGGTGAGTGAGTAGAAGACATCACAGACATGAGTGACGATGATGATGATAGCTGCCGAGCCACCTCAGCCCTCCCCTGCGCTTTGCCCAGTCCTGTGGGGAGTGCTGGAAACACATCCTTCCATCACCCCTCCTGTCTGAGGCTGGCTTCTCTAGAGAGGCAAAAGCAGTAAAGCATATAAATACATATATATAGAGAGAGATTTATATCAAGGAAATGGCTCACATTTCCTTGCTGTAGAGGCTGTAACATCCCAAGTCCGTCGGTCAGGAAAGAGGCTTCTCCTGATTCATGTAGCCACAGGGGCTGGCAAACCCAAGATCAGCAGGTCAGAGAGCAGGGCTGTTGCTCACAGGCTGTGAAGATCGAATCCCAAAATCAGCAGGCAAGACCACAGGTAAGCCGCTAGCTCAAGTCCCAAGAACTGGAGGGAGGTCAGATGAACAGGAGCCGGCTGCAGGATCCAGAACAAGAAAAGCCCCTGAACCCTGCCTGAACATCCACCCACACTCGATGCAGGCCACACGCCCAAGGAAACTCCCTTCAGCTGACTGGTTACTCACAGCAGATCCCCTCATGGAGGTGATCACGTATCAGATCTCAACAGGGAAGTGATCACATTATATGACTGCCGGAACACTGAGGATCATGGCCCAACCAAGTCGGCACACAATCTTAACCGTCACCCCTCCCATAACCCTGTGAGGTTGGCACTCAGAGACCTCACTTGCCAGATAGGGAAGTCAAGGGTCAGCAGGCCGTGGAGGTTGCCCTGCCCATCCATAATCAAGCCTGCACTCAGGCTCTGGGGTCTAGCTCAGCCATCAGGAGGGGTGGGGTGGAGAAGGGAGGAGCTGGGCTGGCCTGGGGGCTGCTCACGGGCACAGGGACCCTCCCTCCTCCCCAGCCTTTGTGGTCTGGAATCCCTGGCCAGACCCTCGGCCCTGGCATCACAACACCAAAAAGCCCCACCATGACTGGGTGAGTGTTGTGAGCCAACATATGAATTATGTAACCACATAAATGGCTCGGGTACTAGCTAACGGGGTGGACCTGTGCCCCAGGCTGGCCAGCATCCTGGGGGCCTTAATCCTTCTTAAGGGGCCTGCAGGGTCTGGGCTAGCAGGCTGTGAAGCTTTGCTACAGAATGCCTTATCTCAGCAGCTGAACTGCTGCCCCACGTCGGCCCTGTAGAGGTGCCCTGCTTTTAGGGAGGGTGTCAGGACTGCCCACCCCGTGTCACCCTCTAGCACCTCCCCCTCCCACAGCCAGTGACCCAGCACCACGTGCCAGGGCCCAGGGAGTCTCCGGGTTTGGGGAGGCAGACTGGAAGGATGAGGTCGCTGAAGGTGACGGGCCACGTGTTTGTGGGTCAGAACATTGCTAAGGAACTTCGGGGGATCTGAGCGGACGCAGGCTGCGTGCTCACGGGCCTCAGGTCAGACCCTCGTGGCAGCCCTGTCAGCTCTGACTCTTCTCCCTGATTTGCAGGTGTGGGGACGGGGAGCGCCTGACAAGCGGCCACCCAGATTTTGGCTTTGAGATTTTGGATTCTCTGATGTGGGGGCTCTTAGTTCTGGGGAGTCATTTCTCAGGGGGTGGACTATGGGGGCCAGGGCTGGGCCTGTCTCATTCCCCACTCTCCCTTGAGCCCTGCCCGGGGCCCGGAGCCACCTTGAGTGGGCCAGTAAGACCCCGGATGGAGGGGACGTCTCCAGCCTCCCATCCTGCCCCCCGGGGGGCGGGGGCGTTTGGAAGGCTGTCATTGCTGTGGGGGAGTGAGGGTGTCAGGGGGGAAAGGGAGGACCCGGCCAGCCCTGGCTTCCCCAGCACTCCCTCAGGTATTGGTCAAAGCAGTGGGCAGCCAGCACCCAGTGGTCGGTGATCAGGGAGCCTCTGCACACCTGGTCCCCAAACTATCGCACACTGACCTGCCATGGCCACTGGCCAGGCTGGGTGTCCTGCCCCGACGATGCCGCTGGACACGCACAGCCGCCCACACACAGCAGGGAGAGTCTGTGGGTCCCTGCACGGACATGGCCCCTTCTGTGCCCCCCAGCGCTCCCAGCCACCCTTAGTCATCTCAGCCACTTGAGCACCGGCCACTTGGTCCCCTCTTTACAGAGCCCTCAGGGCAGAGGGAAACAAGGAGCCTGGCTGAGGACCCCAGGGGCGCTGGGCAGCCGAGGTGGGGGTGGGCACTGGCGGAGGTGGGAGCCTGGCTTGCTCGGCCTGAGTGGCCAGGATAGGGCCCATGGGGAGAGTCTGAACACACAACAGAGCTGAGTGACACCTCTCCGTGACCCCACGGAGTACCCGGTCCCTGGGGTCTTGGTGGAGGCTGGGAAGACGCCGAGACCGGGTGTGTGCACCAGGCCCCCAAGTCTGGGTCCCCAGAGGGCCTGCCCAAGTGCCAGGCCATAAGAAGGGGGGCTGGGCTAGACCCCCCGCCACTCCAACTCTTATTGTTCCTACTAGGTGCCATCGAGGCGAGTCCCACTCACAGAGACCCCATGTGACAGAAGCAGAATTGACTTTCCGAGGCTGTAATCTTTATGGGAGCAGATCACCGGGTCTTTCTCCCTTGAAGATGATGGTGGGTTCGAACCGCTAGCCTTTAGGTTAGCAGCCAAGCGCTTACCCGTTGCACCACTAGGGCTCCTTACTCCGGCCCCACCTGCCCCTAAATCCAGGCTTTCTACCCTCCCGCGGGCCTGTCTCCCCGATCTGCATGTCTGTCCGACCCGGAATCAGGTTTATCTCCTGGGCACCGGAGAGGCTGGATGGAAGAGCTGGAGGCCTCGCTCCCCTGCAGGGCCCCCAGCGAGAAGGCCAGCAGGATGGTGGAGGGCCAGCTCCATGGCGAGTTTGGGACAGCACTTCCAACGGTTCTTGGGGTCAGAGTCTGCAGACTCTCCAGGAGGGGGACGGTGACTCCAGCGCCAGCCCTGAGTCTTGGGCTGCTCCGGGCTGGGGCCGAGGAAGACAGGAGCCATGTGGGTTGCTCCTGGGCACAGGACCCCGACTGCTCCCCAGCCTGCGTGGTCTGGGACTCCTGGTCAGACCTTGGGCCCTGTTCCAGCTGGAATCACAGCACCAACAGCCCCCACTATGGCTGGGTGGGCCTGGCACTGTGCCACGTATATGACATCCCCCCACCTGACCTCCCCGGACTGAGACCCCGAAGGGCAGATGACTGGTTTGAGGCCCCACAGGTGCAGAGCTTGATGCTGTGGGAGGGATGACAGGGGATGGGAAGTGGAGCTGGGGGTGCAGGCCCTAGGGCCTGATGGGGAGCATCTTTGCTGAGCACTCCCTACTCCCCCACATCAACACAGGGCTCTGGGGCGCCCTAGGTGGGGCCAGCGTGACTGGGTCGTGGGAGGCAGACTCATTATTCAGGGAGGTAGCAGCTGGAGGAAGGAACTCTGATGGCTCAACAGCTAAGTGCTCAGCTTCTAACCGAAAGGTTGGTGGTTCAAACCCACCAAGCAGCCCCTTGAGAGAAAAACCTGTCGATCGGCTTCCCTAAAGATCACAGCCTGGGAACACCTATGGGGCAGTTCCACTCTGTCACACAGGGTCGCCGTGAGTCGGAATCGACTCGACGGCACCTGACAACAAGTAGCTGGAGGAGACCCTGGATTCCCAACGGGAAAAGCCAGGGGCCCCTGGTAGCCTCTCTGACTACGAAAAGAGCAAGCACCCTGGTGTCACCGCCGCTGCATCCACCAGGGAGCGTCGTGGCCTGGAGCTCAGGATGACAGGACTTCTAGAGGTCATGCCAGCCAGAAAGGGGAGCTGACCGGCCCCTGGGCTCTGGGGGAGGAGGGCTTCGGGAGACCCTTCCTGACTCCTAAATTGTATCCGCTGCTCACAGAGTACACCACCCCCACCAGCCTGGCCTCCAGGCAACTCCTGGGCGGGGGGGCACCCAGTCTTTCCCACAACACTGCAGCTTGGCCTGGCCTGGGCTGACCACCCTGGGGACACACTGACTTTCTGAGTATCCCCAAATGGCTGATGAGGCCAAAATCTCAGCCACTGAATGCTCCGGTGTCATTGATTCTTCTTCCTTACTTATTTTCGTCCTCCATTTGATTCCAACACCAACGTGGATTTATTCCTTTCTTGAGTATCTGTTCTTGTTGTTAGTTGCTACCAAGTCTACTGACTCATGGCGACCCCATGTGCGCAGAGCAGGACCGCTCCGAAGGTTTTTTGGTTTTGTTTCGTTTTGACAGTTTTCAAAATAACATGCGGATCCACTTTTACTAAAGAAAGCCATATGTTGATACAGAAAGTACTCTTAAATCCTAGTTTTCTGGAAACAGAAGATACAGGGTTAAATTCATGTAATTATTTATCATTCTGAAATTATGATTACAAACGTTTTATAAATCCTTTTAGCGTTTTTGTTTTTTGAAAAGCTGAAGTTAAAACAAAGGATGCAGATGAAAACTGAAGTATTCTAATGGCTAAAAATTCTCTTTTTTTGCTCATTGCCATGAGAAATTACACATCCTTCTACTTGGTGATATTTCTAGTAGAGGACATGGGCAGCCCATCCTGTCTCTCAGTGCCTTCAACGAGAAAGGAGCAGTTGTAATGGGGTAACTCCACTGCCGATCATCTTGTGAAAAGAGGGAGCAGCCCACTTTCTGTCCAAGACAGTTCACATGCACGGAGTTTCACCATCAGTGAGCTGCTCCTTGCCCGAATGGCCTACAACGAGACAGGCTTCGCTGTTTGGGATTTTGAGAAGAAAGAAACACACTTCATCAGCAGAGGGTTGAGAAAGCAGTGTTTATAATACCTGATGATTAATATTAGCTTGAGTTGTAATTGAAAGAAACTTAGTTGGCAAACCTTTTTGATTGTTATCTGACTCTCGGAGTCCTGGACATTCCACCCTCTGCCTCCTAAACAGAACCAGTGGGATAATTTGCGGCTGGACAAGAAAAAGGAGGTCTCGCCTGATTTTGTTTATCCCTGGGGTTTTCAGGGCTGTGACCTCTGGAAAGCAGACTGCCAGGCCTTACTTCCAGAGGCCCCTCTGAGTGGGTATGAACTGCCAACCTTTCAGTTGGCAGTCCAGCGCTTAACCATTGGTGCCAGCCTGGGGCTCCACTCTTGCGTATTGATTTGCTTTGTGTATTTTACAGCTATGTTGTCGGGGCCATGAAGGCTCACGTCTCTTACATCTTTTCAGTGGATTACAACTTCTATCGATGGCAAATATCCTAACCTTTCCTGCTTAAGGCTGCTAGCCTTGGATTCGATTTTCTCTGATGTTTAATCTTCCATCATCTGCTTTCATCTGGTTTACAATTTCTTCACAACTTTATTTATTTTTATTGCGGTGAAAACATACACACCAAAACGTTCACCAGCAGCAACCGTCTCCACCGTTCACTGTTCGATGACACCGATCACGTTTTTCGTGAGGTACCACCATTACCGCTATCCTTTTCCAAAATATTCCACCACCATTAGCATCAACTCGATGCCCAGCAAGCAAAAGCTCCCCTTCTTTCCCCTCCCTCCCGTCCCTGGTAACCACTAATCTGTGGCTTCTACAGATTTGCCTGTTTCATATAAATGAGATCATGCAGTATTGGTCCTTTTGTGACGGAATTATTTCACTCAGCACGATGTTTTCGAGGTTCACCCACGTCGTGGTATCACAAATTTATTTTTACAATCTAAATAAAAGAGAAAGAAAACTGCATTATACATCTAGAAAAATCTTACAAAAAATGAAATGTCATCAACTTGTGCTTATAAAAAACCCATTGCCATCGAGTCGTTTCTGACTCATAGTGACCCTGTAAGACAGAGTAGAACTTCCTCATAGGGCTCCTAAGGCTGTAAATCTTTACAAAGACTGCCACATCCTTCTCCCGTGGAGTGGCTGATGGGTTCGAACCATTGACCTTTTGGTTAGCAGCCTAGCTCTTAACCACTGTGCCACCAGGTTTCCAGAACTACTTTCGGATTGCAAAAAAAACTGAAGTTTCATATGATTCATTGATATTTTATGGACATAAAGGCTTACACTACCTGCTTGAGTTTTTTGTTTTGTTTTGTAATACGATCCCAGAAATTGTGTTTGAGAACTCCTGGATTAGCAGGAGTGTGTAAGAGCTAACACATTTCAATCTGAAGATATCGCAACGGTCATCATCATCATCATCATCGATGAGCTGTTACTTAGAACTCACACCCATTCAGTGGCCTTTTTTGTGCCACTGCCCTGCTAAGTATGGTACCAAGAGGTAAAATATCCAAATCCCCTGCAAAGTGTTTGACCCTGAATGCGTGTCCATTAAGTTCCTTGTCTGAGCTGATGTTGCGTTAGGAATACACAAAATGCAGGAAACGCCCTTCTTCAGCGTGAGGATTACCCCGCATAGCGCAGCACACACTGCTGTAGACAGACCTGTGGAGCATGCAGAAGCAACACCAAGTGTCTCAGTTTGCTAGTGCCGCTGCAACAAAAAACACCCCAAGTGAGTGGCATTAAAGAACGGGATAAATTTATTGTCTCACAGTTTTGGAGGCCAGAGGTCCAAATCAGGGCATCTAAGGGAGGGTCCTTCTTTGTCAGCAGCCCTGGGCGTTTCTTATCGTTCTTTGGCTGCTTGTACATGTATCTTCACATGGCATCTGTCTTTCCCGTGTGGGTCTGTGCCTGTACTCCCCTGTACAAGACCCCGCTCAGAAGGAATTAAGTTCAGGACCCACCCTACTCCAGTACAGCCTCACTAATATAACAAAGGAAAGCTGCTATTTCTAGTCAGGGTCACATTCACAGGCACAGGGATTAGGACTTCAATATGTATTCCAAGGGGACACAACTCAACCCATAACATCAAGTAAATACTGCCTTTCTACTGGTCTACTGATCGTAATTCTAGAGCTTGGCCTGGTCTTATGGTCTTTTTTCAACTTTTTGTCTTATTTTCTTTAAAACACATTTTATTATGGAAATTTTAAAATATACACAGAAATACACAGACAAGTACAAGGAGCACCCTGCACCTGTCTCCCAGGTCAAACAGTTATCAATATATGGCCAATCTTCTATATCCCTCCATATCTTTCCATTTTTGCCCATATAATCAGCCCTTCTTAAATTTTTGCTCCAAGTCCTGAACATTTTTTACTTTACCTTCGAGTTTACCAATTCATTCTTTAGCTATGTCCATCTTATTATTCATCCCTTCTGCTAAAATGTTTTATTTCATCAATAACATTTTTAATTACCAAAACTGTTTCTCGTTCTCTGACTGCTCCTTTCTTATATAATTCTTGTCTGTTTATAAAGTCCTCTTGAATCTCTTTCAGGATACCAGTTAGAATTTACCAAGTTGTTTGCTGTTCCATATACTGTCTCAATCTTCTTTGGTGTCAGTTCAGTTTATTCAAATAGATCCTTCTTGTGCATATGTGGATTTTCCTTGAACTTGTTCATCCTTCATTCTTGTGCAATAAAGGGTTAACTCGGTAGATTTGTGATGTTCAAATCCTGCACGTTCCAAAGAAAGAACTGGCCTTTGGCCAATTTCTGGGAGATAACCTCTAAACCCTTGCCTAATAATAGTGCCTTTGTATAACTGGGGCCTTGGATCATGCTAGAGAGTCTATGCTAACCATGTGGTTTATGGTGGGGGCCTTGGGCCACAGGGTATCAGCTTGACCTCTGGAGGGCTGGAGACTCAGTAACTAAGGTTGACCATGCGGGTGCCCTGAGCCCCCAGTAAAAACCCCAGACACCAGGGCTCAGATGAGCTTCCCTGGTGGACAATTCCTCGTGTGTGTGGTCACACATCATTGCTGAGAGAATTAAGTGTTGTCCGTACAACTCCAGTGGAAGAAGACAACTGGAAGCTGACACCTACCTAATCTCTCCCAGACACCAGCCTTTGTGCCTTTTGCCTTTGCTGATTTTAATCCATATCCTTTTGCTGTAATAAACCATAACCATGAACATAATGGCTCTCCTGAGTTCTGTGAGTCCTTCTAGGGAATCACTGAACCTGGCCTGGTCTTGGGTTGGCCATTCACAGTTACGATGAAGAGTCAGGTGGCCCTGCCGCTACCTCCACCAGGACAGGAGGGCTGTGTGTGGGCTCTACTTCACTGTGTGGGGCCAGCTGCAAGGTGGCATGAAGACAGGGAGGCTAGGAGCCCTGTAGCTTGTCAGAATAAAGCTGGCTTTTCCTCTGTGGGTCCCGTAAAGGGTCTTCTTTTTTGGCAGCAGCTGACACAGAGCGAGGTCTCAGTGGGCACCTTACGGATTGCATCGTGTCCCTGAAAAATCTGTGTTGCACATCTTAACCTCTGTAGGGAAAAGGGTTTCTTTGTTATGTTAACAAGGCAGTGTAGGGTAGGGTGTATCTCGAGTCAATCTCTTTTGAGATCCAAAAGGAGCAGATTAAGCAGACAGAGATGGGGGAGGATGCCATGGCATGTAAAGATCACCCAGGGGCCCAGGAACAGAAGATGACGAGACAAGAACCTCCCCCAGAGCCAACAGAGAGAAAGCCTTCCTCTAGGGCTGGTGCCCCGAACTGGGACTTCTAGCATCCTAAACAGTGTGAAAATAAATTTCTGTTTGTTAAAGTCACCCATTGTGGTATTTCTGTTAGAGCAGCACCAGATAACTAAGACAGGCACCCAGTGAGGACTTGCTCATGGGCCTGATGGGTCCCCAGGTGTGGGCAGGTCTGTTGTCCTGGAAGAAGAAGTGGGTGGAAGAAGGGGCAGTGGGTGGGACAGCCAGGACCCTTGGGTCCCAGAGAAGCAGAGGGAAGAGTCAGGGTCAGCCATTCCTGGGGGGCAGCAAGGGGTATTGTTGGGGGACCCAGCCCCACTAGGAGCCTGAAGAAGGGCGCTGCGAGACCTCGAGATCCGCAAACAGCCCTTGGGCCCAGGGAGGTCAGGCTGCGAGGGGTGGGGGGCCAGGGCTCCTGCTCCCGCCCTCGCCCCCAGGGGGCGCCCCAGCGGGACCGGCGCAGGAGGAAGCGGAGGGGGGCGCCAGGCGCGGAGAGGAGGCCATGGGCGCGCTGCTGCTGTGGCTGCTGTTGTCCCGGGCCGGGCTCGGGGGGCTGGGGGAGTTGGGGCG